CATGGTGCCTATCATGAGTCTTATTTCGATAATCTGAACTATTTATTTTGTAAGACCTTCTGTGTATATTATTCACGAAAAGATTATGTTAATTTGATAATCATAGTATTTTTTTTTATCGCGTGTGTCTTCAAAAAAATGAATAACCATTTTAAAAATAGACCATCCAATTTTTGAAGAAAAATACAAGAAATTAAATTTTACGATTATTAGGTTGACTCAATTTTTTTATAGATGATATATATGAAATATCCTATAAAATAAATGATTTGGGTTATGAAAATGGGATCAATGATATGCTATACAAACTCCTAATCCCAACCCTTAATACCATAAAAATTATGACATTAGCCTTCGTTTGGGAAGTGGGTTGGCTTTTTGGCTCTTTTGACTATTTGAGCTTGGGCTCAAAAGCTTGGTTTGGGAAGGACTTTTTGGCTTTTTGGCTTTTCTGACTTTTTTTGTAAGAGAAGAGTGTAATGATTATGGGTTGGATGTGATGTTTTGTCTGTTGTGGCTCAAATAACCTATTCTGTCTTTTGTGGCTCAAAGAGCCTTGTCTGTTGTGGCTCAAATAACCTATTCTGTCTTTTGTGGCTCAAAGAGCCAAAAGAGCCCAAATGAGCTTTTCCCAAACGACACCTAAAATTAACTATTTTGGACAAAATAATAATCACTATGCTTGGTTCTATTTTTTCAAAAACAGTTTTCAGAAAATTTTACTTTTTTGTTTTCTGTGTTTTTTTATTTTTACTGAATTTTTTAATATTTTAAGCAATTTTTTTTTTTTTTACTTTTTAGACATGTCTAATATAATTATACCTAAAAAGTAAAAAATTTGTGAAAAAAATCTTTTAAAAATTCACTAAATACTAAAAATATATATAAAAAAAAGGAGAATTCTATACATTTTTTAATATTTTTATGTATTTATTAATTTTTTAAAATATTTTTTCACTAATTTTTTACTTTTTAGATACATCTAAGTAAGGTGCATCTAAAAAAATAAAAAAATGTTAAAAATATTCACTAAAGCAAAAAAACATGAAAACTAAAAAACTTAATTTTCAAAAAATTTAATCTAAAAAATTCAAACCAAACATACTGAATTGTACTATTTTGGACAAAATAATAATTGTGATAGTCTACGAGGATACGCCTTTGTCCTAGTTATCGCATGAAGACAATTGTCCGTATCTATATACTATATATTATGTAAAAGGGGGTTTTTAACCCCAAGAATTATGGGAGCTCCAATCTCCTAATCCTAATTTTCTAATTTTTTGATTTAAAAAAAAAAAGCCTCAACATTTATTGACTTCTCCCAACCCACAATAGCTTTTGACTTCTCTCATAATTATTGCAACACCCTTTTTAATTTCTCCCATACACTATGGTTACACACAAAAATAAAAAAAATATATATAAGAATTTAGCTATAGATCTCAAAAAGATATAACATCTAAATTTGAATTATGATTTAATAATATAATTATGTATCTATACTATATATTAAGCAAAAGGGGGTTTTTAACCCCAAGGTCTGTGGGAGCTCCAATCTCCTAATCTTAATTTTCAAATTTTTTGATTTTAAAAAAAAAAACCTCAACATTTATTAACTTCTCCCAACCTAACCTCAGCATTTATTGACTTCTCCCAACCTAACCTCAGCATTTATTGACTTCTCTCATAATTATTGCAAAACCCTTTTCAATTTCTCCGACATATTATGGTTACACACAAAGATAAAAAAAGAAAAGAATTTAGCTATAGATCTCAAAACGATATAACATCTAAATTTGAATTATGATTTAATAATATAATTATGTATTTTTTTTATGTATATTTGTCAAAATTTTAAATCACTTAACGGGACAAATTAATAACTTACCTAAATAATAATAATTAAAAACAAATGGAAACCGCAGTTAAATTAAATTAAAAAAAATAGATACGCACAACTCCATCTTAAATAAATTGAAAAAAAAATACCCGAATAGAAACCACAGAAAAATAAAAATAAAAATAAAAAGATATATCTATCTATCTATCTATTTATATTATATATTGAGCAAAAGGGGGGTTTTTAACCCCAAGGCCTGTGGGAGCTTCAATATTCCAATCTGAATTTTCTAAATTTTTTATTTAAAAAAAAAAACTCAGCATTTAAAATCCCCTCATACAAATAATTATGGATACAATCTGTGTATAGTTACTGCAGTACCCTTTTCAATTTCTTTCATACACTATGGTTAGTGATAAGATTGTTAAATTATTTTTATAAAAAATCTTAAAAAACATAATTTATATTTTAAAAAAAATCTAAAACAAATATAAATATCTATAATTATCTCGTGCATAGCACGGGTGATAGGCTAGTTTTTTTTATGCATATCTATCAAAATTTTAAATCACTTAATGAGACAAATTAATCAAATTTTCAAAATTATTGATTTTTAATTTACAAAATAGATTTAAAAAAAACTATTGACTGATTTATTTATTTAATAACAAAAATATTTCATAATCTCTCCCTCCTAATCTTTCTATCAATTTTTCAAAAAAAAAATATTAAAACTTGCATTCATTTTCTCTTCCCCAAAAAATCAGATAATATCTATACTATATATTAAGTAAAAGGGGGTTTTTAACCCCAAGGCCTGTGGGAGCTCCAATCTCCTAATCCTAATTTTCTAATTTTTTGATTTAAAAAAAAAACCTCAACATTTATTGACTTCTCCCAACCCAACCTCAGCATTTATTGACTTCTCTCAACCCACAATCCCTTTTGATTTCTCTCATAATTATTGCAACACCCATTTCAATTTCTCCCATATACTATGGTTACACACAAAAATAAAAAATAAAAAGATAAGAATTTAGCTATAGATCTCAAAAAGATATAACATCTAAATTTGAATTATGATTTAATAATATAATTATGTATTTTTTTTATGTATATCTATCAAAATTTTAAATCACTTAATGAGACAAATTAATCAAATTTTCAAAATTATTGATTTTTAATTTACAAAATAGATTAAAAAAAACTATTGACTGATTTATTTATTTAATAACAAAAATATTTCATAATCTCTCCCTCCTAATCCCTCTCACAAATTTTCAAAAAAAATAAATATTAAAACTTGCATTTATTTTCTCTTCCCAAAAAAATCAGATAATATTTTCTATTAAAGTTGTAGATATCTACCTATATTTTATATATTATATTATAACATAACCAAAAAAACTAAAAAACTAAAAAAAAATTCTTTAAAGTTTATCTAAATAAATTTTAAATCAATAAAACTCACATGTCTATCACATATCTAACTTACATCATAACTTACCTAAATAATAATAATTAAAAACAAATGGAAATCACAGATAAATTAAATTTAAAAAAAAAGATACCCACAACTCCATCTTAAATAAATTAAAAAAAAAATACCCGAATAGAAACCACACAAAAATAAAAAGAAAAAGAAAAAGATATATCTATGTATCTATCTATACTATATATTAAGCAAAAGGGGCTTTTTAACCCCCAAGACCTATGGGAGCTTCAATATCCTAATTTGAATTTTTTAAATTTTTTATTTAAAAAAAAAAACTCAGCATTTATTGATTTGGTCAAAATCTCCTGATTAGTATTTATTAACTTTTTTTCAATCCACATATCTTTCCACATGCCTGTAATTATTGATTTGGTGAAAATCTCTTGATCAGCATTTAAAATCCCCCCATACAAATAATTATAGATACAATTCGTGTATAGTTATTGCAATACCCTTTTCAACTTCTCCCATATATTATGGTTAGTGATAAGAAAAAAATCTTAAAAAACATAATTTATATATTAAAAAAAATCTAAAATAAATATAAATATTTATAATTATTCCGTACATAGCACGGGTGATAGGCTAGTGGTAAAATAAAAAAAAAATGGAAAAGACAAGCCATCTGAGATAGAAACACCCCGTAATTGGTTTTAGAGAAAGGGACAATACTTAAAGCTTAATATATTGGAAAATAACAATGTTAAGTATTATGAAATTTTTTTTATGAAAATAATCATAAAAATTTTGTGACATTTGAATAATATTTAAAATAAAATACCATACACTAATTAAGATAATTTAAGGATCATAAATTTTTTATTATCATTTTTATATATATTTTTTTATGATCCCTAACTCTTCCTATTGGAAAAAATTGACAATCCTTCTCTATGTGTGTTCAATCGTAGGTTGAATCGCAAGTGAATATCTTTGCCCTAATTGCAGTCATGGAAGGGGGTCGATTTTGCCCTAATCTTCGCGATTGCGGCTTATATTGAAGGGTTGTAGTGAATGATAGCATTTTGGACTGCCTTTTGGCGTGCAAAACCCTTCTCCGTTATTTATTTATTTATTATTATATAAATGTCACGTGACAAAAGTTTCAAAAAAATTAAAATAGAGACTCACGTAATATAATAATATAGATGATGGGAGTTAAAAGTCAACTCATATATTTTGTTTTTGGATAAATTATAAACACACTCTCTAAAATTTATTTAAATTATAAATTACTCTATTTGATTTTAAAAATTACATTATGCGTCTTAAAATTTTTAATTTCATAATAAATAGGTCATTTTATTAATAAATCATCAAGTCAATTAACTATTTTTAATAATGTTAAAATTTTATTTTAATTAATAATTCAAATAATTTTATTATTGTATAAGTGAACAGTTAGAAATTTTACTTTTTCAATTAATTCTGTTAAATAAAAAATTCTGACAGGGAGATATTTATAATTTTTTAAATCACAAAAGACAATTTATATTTTAAACAAATCTCATAAAATGTATTTATAATTTATCTTTTTTATTTTTTATTTTTTTTGGGGTAATAAGCGTAAAAAAAAAAAAAAAAAAAAAAAAAGGCTTTATAAGCCATCCAAAACAACGTTACTAACCGCTTAGTGCAGTCTTCCCACTCGTACACGTTCACTCTCTAGCATTTCGCTTTTTAGCAGTCTACTCAATTTCTTCCTAGCGATCAGTCGTCGGTGATGTCAAGCTCACAGCCGCCTGTCGTCCTCTCTCAGCCATGACGTCGAGCGGAAGCTGATCCTGCAATCTCCTCCTCCAGCGGCGGCTCAGTCTTCGTCGTCCGTACAGAAACCGGCTCAGCCGCCGTCGTCTACGAAGTCTCTCCGGCTCCCGGCGAGGCCCTGTTACGGAACTTTCGGCCGGAGATGCATTGTTCGTGCGAATCATTCGATGTTGCTGATAGAGATCTCCACCACTATGACGTGAGAATCTCACCTGGATTTTATCTATATATATATATATATATTTATGCATGTATCTGTTATCTGCTGTGTATATGTTGATTTCATACATGTTGATCGACTGATTAAATATTTATTTTTATTTCTATGCGTTTTTCTCTTCTTGTTTTCCTAGAGATCAATGGTTTGTTCTGTTTTGTTCTATTTGTATGCTCTGATAGTTACAGATTTTGATCTATATATTTATTTTTTAGTGTTCGTTTTTATAACAGATTAACTATTTATTTATTTATTTAGTGTGTGGATTCGAATATTATTATTTGTCGTTCACTGTGCATTTTTTATTTGATTATTTTGTGCGGCGTTTTCATCTTCTATACATTCACTCCGAATGTAGAAAATGTGTAATGACCATGCGAATGTATGGAGATGGCACTATTGATATGAATGTATATAACACAATTAGATAGCACCATTGATATGAATGAATATAACACTATTGATTATGCATTCTACCAAAATTTCTTTCTGATTGTATATGATTATGAACAAGGATTGGGCTCCAGCGGGTGGTGGCGCCATGCTTGCTCTCTATTGTATAATATATTTGGGCATGTTTGATTAGTAGGATTATAGCATAAGATTGAGATTGTTAGTCAATGGACTCGCAATCAGGCAGACATTCAATCCGACAAAATTGGTGAATAGGATCACAATTTCAAATATGAAAGAAAAAAAAAACAAAATGAATACAAAATAAATAGTTATCTCACTAATTTAATTAGATAACTAATCCTATACTAATTCGTAGGAGTATTAATCATTTCAATATTAATTCTGTTAATCAAATAAGGACTTTGTGTATGTGTACCATCATGTATAACATATGCCTGTCTGTAAGCACAAGCCATATTGGAACATGTTAATCCGATTCTGTTTTGTTGCTGATATGGTTAATACTTGAATTTTGTGGCCAGTCAAATGTATCGAGTCTTTGGTTTCAGTTTGCTTTGGGTTGCATTATAATTGGTTTCTTTCTACTTAGTTTCTTTGGTGGTTATTCTACAATTGTAATTATACAATTCCAATTGATGGTTTAGGTGACAATAGCACCTGAAGTTACCTCAAAGAAAGTCTACAGGGAAATAGTGAATGAGCTTATTGCATCATATCAGGAGTCTCACTTGGGCAAACGATGTCCAGCTTATGATGGCAGGAAAAGTTTGTACACAGCAGGGCCATTGCCTTTTGTCTCTCAGGACTTTGTCGTAAATCTGGTTGAAAAAGATACTACCTCAAGGTGATTCCCCTACTTCCTTCAGCATCTACTGTTGGAGATCACCCTATGTGAGGAGTGATCTCTTCTCCGTGTGAAGCCAACACATTGCCAACTAGCAATATAGCTTGCCAACCCTTGCCAACCGACAAGTCACAAAGGTGGACGGCCGCTTTTGTGAAGGAACAGGTTGGCCATGTGCAAGGCCAGCCAACCTCTCTGCCTATTGTTGAGTGTATAAATAGAGAGGCCAAGGGAAGAGTTGTATAGAGAAAAAAACAGTAAGAGAGTGTGTCTCTGTTGTAATTCTTCCATTTCTCTTCATATAGTGAAATCCGTTGCCCGTGGACGTAGGCGACTTGCCGAACCACGTTAAAACTCTTGTGTTATTGCTTGTTTGTGTTTCTTGGTGTGCCCTCGATCCCCAACAATTAGTATAAGAGCCCGGGTGGTGAAAAATCAATTTTTTTCCGAAAGTGCCCAGATTTCGAAGTCACTGAAATCCACTTTCGAGCATACCAGGATGAAGGTCTAGAGGAGAGGAGTCCAAAACTTCAAACCACAGGCCAAATGGACCCAACACGTGCCTTCACGCGCCAAAAGAATAACGCGCGTGAATTCCAATCTCACCACGCGCCCCACACGCCGGTGAGAGGAAGAAGACAAGTGGAGCGCGCGTGGTTCTGACGTCAGGCTGACGTCATCCTGAGCCGAGCCGAGCCGTCAAGCCGAACAGGAGCCATTGACCACCGCTGACCAAGCCACGCCGCGCCAAAAACCACGCCGTTGATCGCGCCAATTGACCAGCCGTTCCAGAGTAATTATCCGGTGCATCTCAGACGCACCAGATTCTGCAGATCTGAACCGTCCAAACAGTTTTGGCCAGATCTGAGTAATTCGAAGTCCGTTTCTGACGATCCAATAGTACTTTTCAACTATTTGGAGTATTCCAGACATATCTATACAGTTAGCTTTTTGAATCGGGGTTTCTAAAAAAAAAAAAACAGTCTAAATGGCAGAATCTACAGAGAGGAGATTAGCTGAGTCTACAAGCAGTCCCGCGGCTACAAACAACTCTAGGTATTGGACCCCGGTGTCCCATGCTAAGTTCGAGGTAGAAAAGTTTGATGGAAGTAGCAACTTCGGCATGTGGAGATGCGAAGTTAAAGATGTGCTAGCCCAGATGAACCCGCACTTCACTCTGGGAGACAAACCAGATGACCTGGACGGGATAGAATGGGAGAAAGTGAATCTCCTAGCTGCAGTTCCATCCGACTTTGCCTTGCAAAAGAGGAGAAGTATGCCTTCACAGAATATGATATTGCGAAGGAGCTTTGGAAGGCACTGGAAGACAAGTTCATGACAAAGAGCATTGAGAACCGGCTCTACTTGAAGAAGAGGTTGTTTTGTTTCGACTATAAGAAAGATATTTCGATGAACGAACACCTAAACAATTTCAACAAAATTCTTACCGACTTAAAAAACTTGGATGATCACATTGGTGATGAAGATAAAGCACTGTTACTGTTAAATTCCTCGCCTGACTCATATGATCATCTCACCACCACTTTACTGTACGGTAAAAAAAAGATCAAGTATGTTGATGTTGCAAACGCCTCGGTAAATAATGAGTTCAGAAGGAAAGATAAATCTGCAAACAGGGACTCAGCATCCGAGGCATTGACAGTCAGAGGTAGGACAAATAACAAAAGATATACAGGGCGAGGAAAGTCTCGCTCAAAATCCAGAGGGAAATCATCAGATAGAAGACGTCTTGCAAAAGACAAGTGTGTTGCTTGTCGCCCGAAGGGGCATTGGGCAAAAGATTGCCCTAATAAAGACTAAAAAGAGGAAAAAGTGAACGTTGCACGAAATGGAGATAATGGTGAAGGATTAGCCTTCACAGTTTCATCATATGGCCAGTCTGATGAATGGATTCTAGATTCCAGATGTTCCTACCACATGTGTCCTAACAAACAGTGGTTCTCGAGCTTACGAGAGTTCGATAGAGGAGTTATACTGATGGGCAACGACTGAGCTTGCCAGACAAAGGGGATTGGAACAATTCGACTGAAGATACATGATGGAACAATCAAAATTCTTGAAGATGTTCGGTATGTACCAGATTTGACAAAGAATCTTATCTCAGTGGGAGTTTTAGACTCCAAAGGCTACAGAGTAACTATGGAAGGTGGAGTCCTCAAAGTTATTCGAGGAGCATTTGTTGCAATGAAGGGTACTCGAAAGGGAAATTTATATTTCCTAGACGACTCTACAGTCACAGGGAAAGTGGTTGTCTCCACCAGCTCAGAAGATGATGTATCAGACACTTCCAAACTTTGGCACATGCGCCTAGGGCATGTTGGTGAGAAGGCTTTACAAGGGATGGTAGAGCAAGGCCTGTTGAAAGGTGCCAAAACAGGGAAGCTTGAGTTCTACGAGCATTGTGTACTAAGCAAGCAAACAAGAATCATGTTTGGTACTGCTATTCATCGTACCAAAGGGATTCTAGACTACGTTCACACCGATGTATGGGGTCCTTCCAAGAATGCTTCGTTGGGAGGTAAACACTACTTTGTTTCGTTCATTGATGATTTCTCAAGAAGAGTTTGGGTTTACACAATGAAGCATAAAGATGAATTATTAGAAATCTTTCTTATGTGGAAGAAAATGATTGAGACCCAGACAGGCAGAAAGATCAAAAAGCTCAAATCTGACAATGGCGGGAAATACACATCAGATCCCTTCTTTGAGGTTTTCCAGAATGAAGGGATAGTGAGACATTTCACAGTTCCTGAAACACCGCAGCAAAATGGAGTTCTAGAACGCATGAACTGCACTTTGGTGGAGAAAGTCCGGTGTATGCTGACACATTCTAGATTGAGCAAGGCATTTTGGAGCGAGGCATTGAACTATGCTCGTCATCTTGTTAACCGACTACCTACTGCAGCACTAGATGGCAAGACTCCCATGGAGGTATGGTCAGGAGTGCCAGCTACTGATTATGATCAGCTGCGTATCTTCGGATGTCCAGTCTATTTTCATATTACAGAATCTAAGTTGGATCCTAGAGCCAAGAAAGCTGCTTTCTTAGGCTTTAGTGACGGTGTCAAGGGATACAGACTTTGGTGCCCTGAATCAAAGAAAGTTGTCACTAGAAGAGACGTTACCTTTGATGAGTCTACAATGCTGAAGCAACCAAATCCCCAAGAAAATAATGAAGCATTGAAGAAGTCAGTGCAGGTGGAGTTTGAGACCCCAGCGAAGACTATTAAGCCAATCAACCATCCTGAAGAAGTCTCAGTGGATAGCTCTGAAGAGAGTTCAGATGAAAATGAAGATCCAGACGCCCCACAACAATCAAAACCCATTGCAATTAGGAAAGGAAAAAGGGTTACTAAGCAACCTGGTTGGATGACCGATATGGTAGCCTATGCACTTCCAATCATTGAAGACAATGTTCCTTGCACTTTAAAGAAGCCGTGCAGAATGCAGAAAATGTTAATTGGAAGGAGGCTATGGATGAAGAGATCGGGTCACTTCACAAGAACCAGACTTGGGAGTTGGTGCAACTTCCAAAGGGAAAGAAAGCAATTGGGTGCAAGTGGGTTTACACCAAGATGGAAGGCATCCCAGGCAAAGACAACATCAGATTCAAAGCCAGATTGATAGCTAAAGGCTATGCCCAAAAGGAAGGAATAGATTGCAATGAGGTATTCTCACCTGTTGTGAATCACACGTTTAC